CCAAATAGACTATTTATATATACATAATTATATAATTGCATAATGTCAACTGTGCGCAGATAACAGAGGCAGCTAGAGACAGCTGAAGTTGTCGTCAGCAACGCCTAAATTTAATTGATGTTTGTTTCCGTGCAAAAAGGTCAACTCAAGACGTAGTCTCTTTTCGTATGCGTGCAGCAGTGAATATTTGTTTGTTTTTGTTTTTAGCTTACATCACTTTGTCGTCGCATCACATGATAAGTTAATTAGATTTGTGTATCGTGACTCGTGCAAGCGCATAGAAATCCGATTAGAGTAGAGAGAAGCAATGCAGCGGCTCGCGTTCGCATTGGCATTGTCGAAAGGTCAATAAACTGCCAGAGCTGTGTGTAAATAATAGATTTTACCGTATTTTTGTTGACGGCCTGGTGCTATTTAGCCATAAAAGTCAACCTGTGTTACCGAAAACAGAGGCTTGTTTTTAATCGTTGCAGTTTAACTTATTTTGACGATAGAATGCATTAGGTGCCCATCTTTGTGTGTGTGTGTGTGCAGATTCTCGCCTTAATCAAGCAGACAACACACCTACGCACCCTGAACTTACACACCCACACACAGTTGTATTGTAGGGCGATATTCCGTTGTGGATGCTCGCAAACTCCTACGCTATAGCGGGATGACTCGTTAAGTTTTATTGCTTACTGCCCACTTAAAGCTGGGCACTTGAAAAACGTTTATTTCCAAACTATATGCTCTTTGATTTGCGCCCACACACACATACACAGACTGGAATAAAAGTTCAATTACCTGGCAACGCTCGCAGTTGCTCTTCCACCTTCTCCCCATTTTTAAGGCTGTGACTCAAATGGTGTGGCACACGTTCAGTCAGCCAAAAGCAGCACAGACACACGTCATAATTAGCATGGACAGCGAAAAAGAATGAATACATACATATACGTACAATACACATACAACATACTTATGCATATGTTTGTATGTATATAAAATGCCACTTTAAATATGCACATTGACATACGCGATGTGCAATTGTCAAGCCAATAATAATAACAACAATGAGCAAAGGTTTATTTTGCGCATTTCCATAATAATGACAATACAATAAGCCAAGTACAAAGCAGCCGCGGCACCGTTTGAGTTGCATACTTTCTTTTATGCACTGTAGAACAGCATTGAGTGAAAAAAAAAGAAGGGGGTGAGCAAAGGCGCTGCCACTTGTCGTGTGCATTTCTTTAAATTGGCGTAAGCCAAGTAGAAAATGCGCTTTCAATTGATATGGCAAGGCTGCGCCTATAGCTTAATGTGTATGCATTTGCACTTGCATTAGTGTTGGTAATCGGTAATATAGGAAGGCGCAAAGCGTATTGGCAATCGGTAATATGGGCAAGCATTTGCATTTGTGTTGGTAATCTGGGCAATATGTGTGTCGTTGACATTTCTATTGGCATTGTTTATGTGCCATGGCTGTGTAGCAGAGGTGTAGACAGACTTTGATTTATGCAAACATACAT